ACTCCTGCAGGTGTGGAGGTTCTTAATTTATTTTTCTGACTATTGGATCTGCAATGTTGTTTTTGCCTTTTGATATGGGCAAGGTAATATTATCTGATAAATATAGGATAAGTCATAGATTCTTTCTCATTACACAAAATAATTTTGTCTTGCCTGGACTTTATTTTATACATGCATACAGTATTTTGAGGTTCTTAGGTAATGGGCTTGAAATTTATGACCTGGTAGAGGTGATTGAAATACAATTCTTTCACTGTTTGGCATACTTCCTGGGAATTGTACTTTAGCAACATCTGCCATGCCATAAGTTGCCTACCACCATGAAAATCTTTCTTGTCATTTCAAAAAGTAAGCATTCAAACATAATAATTGGGAAGAAACCCAAAATCCTTTCTCAGAAAATCAAAAGCACTTATTTTGGGGAAAGAATACATGTCAATGGCTTTGGAAAACCATGATTTGTACTGTAAATCTTTAGCTGAGGCATCATGAGGCATCTTCAGCTGAAATTTAGCTGTAAGAGAATCTTAAATGAGCTGCATCTCTTGAGGCTTTTTTCCATTGTTGAGTTATTCACTTATCTTTGAGTTGGCAAAAACTATACGCACATAAAATTGGTTGACCACACTCTTAATCCCTTTCCTGTTTTTATTGCCTTGGTTTCAAATCACTACAGTCACCTGACTTCCATTTAAGCTAATAAGTAACAAGCCGAACAGGGTTTATACCCCTTGAGGCTGTCAAAAGAAGGAAGACAATCTACACTAATGCCTGTACAGCTAAGAATGATTTAAGACTTAGAGAACACAACAGTTTGTGTCATGGTTAGATGTACGTGGAGAAGGACCCCTAGTCAAGTTGACCTATCATTCCTGAGAAACAAACTGAGTTGTCCTTGTTTTATAATGAAATAAATGTCACTCTCTATATTAAAACTAGAACAGAGGGCATATCTTACAGGTTATTTGTGGGAAGGATATTGCATAAGCAGATTTGATACGCACAGGGATGCATTTCCTTTACCCAGGGCAGGCTTTTATAGTGTGGTAAGTTAAAAAAAAAAGATTTATTAATTAAACCAATTTATATAACTCCTCATCTACCCAAAGAAACTTTTTAAAAGAGCTACCTTATATTTCATATGTTACAAATGCTTTCATGTCACTTCAACCAAGCACCCCTAAGCAACTTACAAACGCTTGAGGAAAACTACATACACTGTGTATCACAACTAAATCAATGGCAACAAGAGCAATAAAACAGGAAGAAGTAGCACCCCCCCATGCATATTTCACCAGACCCTTCAATCCCCAAATGCCCACTTAAACACCCAGATGTGAATAAGCTTTCTGTACGTTAACAAGGATGACCTGTTAGGTCATCATTTTAGAGATATTTTCTTACCAGATTCCTCCACTCCTTCAACAATGGCAGAACTAATGTAGTGCCTTCGGTGGAAACTTCTCAAAAATTCAGGGAGATATTCAGAGATGTATCTCTGAATTATATCATAAAATGTTTTATGATAATTCTTATGTCATAACATGTTTTATAAAATATGCCCAAATTCAGTTTCATAGGAAGGGGTTATTTATTCTATAATAAATTTATTCTATAATGAATGTATTCGATAATAAATTTATTCTATAATAAATAAATAAATATTTATAATAAATAAATAAATTCTGTAAATTAACTGATTTGAGGTACTTTAGTTTAATAAACATTACCCTATGATGCACTGTTTTGTGCAACTAAAGGTTATGAGAATTTTAGTGGTTTATAACTTATTAGCACCTTGAACTGCACCCATAAACAGCTGGCAAATAATGCAGATCCTGTTACATGACAATATCAGTTCATTCACATTACTCCACAGGAAGTTGCATTTTCTACTAGCTGACATTTCCTGATGATCTTCAAGGACATGTCCCATGTACACTTACAATAGTCAAATCAAGATATGAAAAGGCATATGGGAATGCCCTAGGAATAGCTGAAATGATACAGATGTCAAAAGTAATCAAAGGCTGTCCTTGACGCAGGTTCCATGTATTGTTTTAGCAAAAGCTGTTGGTCTAAGAGACCTCCAGATTATAGATCAGTTTATTCTGTGGGCACAAAATCTAGAGTTAATGGGAGTCAGATAAATAGGTATCACTTTGGTGGGCATTTACCAGGGACAGAAAAGGAACCCCCCAACCAGGCATCCCCTGGGCAACAGTACTTAAGAAATAATAACCATTTCTTTCTTTTTTAAAAATTTATTTAAATCTCACTGCTGCTATACATCCAGACTTTTATAGCCTCATGACATTGGATCAAGACTTTTACGATTATTTATGTTTATTTGGGATATAGACATACAACTGGGTGCCCCCTGCTCATTGATATTTCATAACCCAGCTATGAATAGTATCACCTAATGGCTTCATGCAGATATTAAATAAAATGCTATGTTTTTTAATTAATTACTTTTGCCTTTTTAAAAAAAATGACTGCTTGCTAGACTTTGCCAAAACTATTGCACCTTTGTTAAGCACTAATTCCTTGTAAACTATAGAAAATAACACCAACCTTAAATTTGTAGTCTGGTTAATAAGAAATAGCTCAACTGTAGTAACAAAATGTTCAATTCAGCCCACCACAATGTCTGAATAGCAGCCTGAAAAACTTTGGGCTATAGATTTGTCAATCTTCCAGAAGACTTCAGAGATGCTTTCTTTTGCTCCACGTCTTATACTTATTTCCGGGCTGTTATTTTAAATTCAACAATGTGCAAAGCATTTCACTTTAATTCTGTTTTATTGTATACTGAATTCCTCAGGGAATGAAAACAATTTGTTCATAATTCGAGGATAAAAAGGTAACAGGGGAAGATGGATTAGCATAGCAGTGCCTATTCTAAGCCAGAGCAGGTCTGAATCCTCATCATGAATGATCTATGGATCATCTGCAAATGGTAAATATATCACGTTGCGGAATCTATCTTTTACGGGTAGTCCTTGACTTACAACTTAGTGATTGTTTGAATTTAGAATGGACTGAAAAAAGTGACTTATGAGATTTTCACACTTATGAGCCCATGGTCACATGATCAAATTTAGGACACTTGTCAACTGGTGTGTATTTATAATGGTTGCAGTGTCCCACAGTCATGTGATCAACTTTTGTGACTTTCTGACAAGCAAAGTCAATGAGGAAGCCAGGTTCATTTAACTTAACAACTGCAGTGATTCACTTAACAACTTGGCAAAGAAGGTCATGAAATAGGGCAAAACTCACTTCACAATTGTCTTGCTGAGCAATGGAAATTCAATTGTGGTCATAAGTTGAGGACTGCCTGCATTTTGAAAAGTGGTTTGCGTAAAGAATGACCCTACTGCAAATAGTTATTATTGTTCACTGACTTGTACTATGACAGTTGTCCAGTAGCAACAGAGAATATGTGGCCTCTTTTTTTCCAGCACACTTTTCTATTTGAAGCTCATCAGTCTGAAATATTGTGTAACATATTTCAACAAGCTGAATATTCCTTCCAGGCAGCCTTTAAAGATATTGTTTTAGTACTGAAGGCTATGTTTTTATATTCTTTAATTACACAAAGTCTTTATTGTCTGCAACAATGGCAGGCAGCTACAAACGACAGTTCCTAGGTGGCTGAAAGAGTTTTGTTTCAAAGGATTTCAGAAAATTATTACAGTATAACATCTTCAGTGAAAAAAAGAGTTGGCTGCAGTTGACATAAAACATGTCTGCTTCTGATTTACTTCCTCACCTCTGCAGTTTATCTCTCAGGTCTTGTCATCAGAAGACGTTCAGCTACATTCATTGAAATGAAGAGCAGTCAATTGGAAAACTGCTAAGCAACTTTCTGGGTGCTTTCTCCAAAATTATAGGGTCACGCTTCTCCTAGGATATTTATGCCATCTAGCTTGGTGCCCGTGGCATTTTGATGGTTATCCATGTTGCTGTATAATACATTAAAACCCAGAGCCTTGAAATTACAATTCCAGGTCAGATTTAATATCCAGAGTCAAGAATTAGAGTGAAATACCAAGATAGATTTGCCTGACTCCCTTGTGCTTGCTGCAGTTACCTCCATGGCTTCCCTACTAGATGTACATTCAGTAGGGAAGACAGAGCAAAGTGCCAGCTTGGACTGTGAAACAGAACATTGAGCAATGACTCATTGGTTGAATTCATACATTCCTCAGCATCACACTTGAGCTTGCCACTGAGTGTTAACACAGTAGGGTTACAGCTAGCCATGACTCTCTTACTGGTACTGACACACATATCTGTAAGAAGTGTTTTGAAATCCATGTGTTACAATTTTAGCATAATTTAAACATGTACATCCAGAGGAGATGTGCTGCCCTAGAAATACAGTTCCACCAATTTTGTAATATATTAGAAATCTTTATTTTTAGAAGATGACATTACAGGCCAGTTCATGGTGCATCTGGGCTGGTTCCCAATTTTGGAGAGTTGCTTGGCCACATGCTGTTGGTGCAGCCGTAAAATGTTTTCTCCCTTGGCTGGATATAGAATGCATATGAAAAGGAGACAAAGTGTGGAGATGCAGCTGCCATTCTGACACTTTTGACCCCTTCTGTGAACCCAGTGGTATCTCAGGAGTTTCCTCCAGGAGCTTGGTAGCAAAATCCGTGGCAAATTCCCAAACCCAGCAGGCTGACCATCACATTTCGAAGAACGTGACATAATTCAGGTCACGTGAAACAAGCCCCTTTGATAAGAACACTATTTGATTAGGTCAGTGTCTTAAGAACACAACCCCCCCCCCTCTCTCTCTCACACACACACACCACAGAAAGGAATTGATAATCTTTTCTGGCCTCCCCCTCCCAGAGGTGTAGAAGGGTCAGCAGTTGCCAAGAGTGCTAAAATATGCAACTCAGTCCAATTGCTTATACTGGCCCTTCCCCTCCCCACCCCTCAACTAATCCTATCTTAAGGTCTTCTTCCCTTACCTTGAAGCTCTGAGTGCAGATGAAGAGAAATAAAGCACCGGGAAAGCTTCGTCTACCGCAAAGGCATTTCTCGAACAAGTGCAATTTCTCTTCAAAGCAGGAGCTGTTGGCGACCTGCTCTGTTCATCGCCCCCGAGCCCTTCCGCGCGAGCACCGGATCAAGCAGGCGTCGCTTTGTGGCTTTGTGGAAGAACTCATCTGATTCTGCGTCCCGATTCTCCCCGCTTTTGGTCTCCAGCATGCCGGGTACTCTCGCTCTTTCTTTCTCACCCAGACCCGGCTAGCCCGGGGCAAGGAAAGGCCCTTCTCTTCTCAAGAGCCCGGCCAAGGCCCAGCACAAAGACTCGAGGCAAACGGATCCAGCCGCGAGAATGCTCACGGGCTGGGGGAGGGGTCCCTCCGATCTCGCCCTTACCTGGCTGGATTCCGGGCGCCCCCTCCGCAAAGTAGCATCTCGGCGGAGAAGGGGACAAGTTCGCGCCCGCCCACCCACCTCGGCGGGCGAAGAGTTTGCCCCTTCGCGCCGGAACCTTTGGCAGCCTGGCGGCGGGGGAGGCGGCGATCCTTTGCAGCTTGTGGGGCCGCCGCTTAGGCTGCTCCCCTCCAACCTGGCCGTGACGCAAGCAGAGCCTACTTAAAGGCGGCGGGGAGGCAGGCAGAGAGACACGGAAGGCGATCGCCGCCTAAGCTGGCTCCCCGGAGCCGCCGCCGCCGCCCTGCCTTCCCCCGGGGGTCGGGGCCTCGATTCGCAGGGCAGGAGGCCCGGCTCAGGCTGGTGCTTCTCGGCCGCTTTGGTGCGGTCCCTGGTGCCGCCGCCGAGCTTTCGCCTCCGGATGAACCGCGATGGGGGAATGGACCATCCTAGAGAGACTCCTCGAAGCCGCTGTCCAGCAGCACTCCACTATGATAGGGAGGTAAGCCCGACCCACCGGCTCCCAACCGGACAGTTTGGGGGTCCTCTCCCTTTCCCCCTTCCTTTCCCGTCTCCGGAGTCCCCTTTTGCCCGCTTGACCTGCTGATTTTCAGCAAAGCTGCGGCGGTGGCTGTAAACTAATCTCGGAAGTGCCTGCTCTCTCGTTGGCTGTCATTTCTCCAATTCCAAAGGCAGGAATTTGGAAGAAAAGTCTCTAAGGAATTGTTTTTGGGTTTGTTTTTTTTCCGAGGAAGGGAGCTGCAGGGCTGCAGCCTGAAAGGGACACCTTGACTGACCCTTCTTACCTCTTTCCTTGTCCTGAAGTATTTCTTCAATAAACTTGCTGCTGCACAGGGACTGGCATCTTCCGCTTCTCACATGCCTTTATTTCTATATTTTATCGCAGAGTTCAAGGGAGTCTTTTAAGTTCTGTACAATCTACTCCTCAGTTTCCACTCCCATTGATGTGCTCGTAAGCAAACAGTCTTGAATTAATATTTAATGAAGAATACATAAATATGGACGGGATATATTTTTGGGTAGATTTATTTATTTTTAAGTCCCAAGAGTAATCTCTAATCTAGCTGGTGATTGCAGTGTGCAAATATTATTAATAATAACAAGGGTAAAGTAAGGGCAAGCAGCCTTCCTGCCTCTGATTTGCCTCTGTTCTCAGTTATGATTTGTAATGGTTGATCAATATATTGCATGCCATAGGAAAATGGGAGATGCACTGCTGGTTTTCATTTCGCCTTCCTTTTTAATTGATCAACTTCTGTTGTACCACAGCAGGGATTCAGGAAGGGGAATGGGAGGGAGAAAGTGCTTCTCAAGTGACCATTGTTATAGAATTTGTCCTTTGCTAGTAGAACTAAGCTTTATGTACTCTCATAGACCAAGGAAGTATTTCCCCCCTCCACTTGCTGTAAATGTCCCTAGGGAGAAGTGCATTGTTTCATAAAATCAAACCATTCAACAAAAACTATGAAGTTCTCTGTGGGTGAGTGCCATACAAATTCAGCACTGGACAGTTCTGCTTAACTGCAATGAAAACAGCCGCTGGAATAATTAAATTCATTCAACTCAAAAATGTAGGAATTGCAGTGGCGAATGATTTTTAATAAATGTGTATGTCATATTAATAATATTAAAAAGTGGCCGAAGAAACAGTTTAAAAAAGCAAAACTAAACAATAGAAACAACTGTAACAAATGCATCAATGTTCAAAGCAATAAGGTTAGGTCCTTAAATATTATTTATGTATTTATTAGATGTATACTCAACCTTTCCTCCAGAAACTGAAAGCAGTGCACATACCGTCTTCTCCATTTTCTACTCATGAAATAGTGAAATAGACTGGGATGAACATAACTAGCTCAGAGCCATTCACCGAGCTTCCATGACAGAGGGCCGAGGGCTTCCTTGGTTCTTAGTCACTATATGACAACATAGACAGTGACCAATGAATTCTGTGTGTTTTTTTTTTTAATTCCACTCCAACCCTATACATGTGCATTCACCCAACCTTTGTTTTATAGGATTCTGCTGACCGTGGTGGTGATCTTCAGGATTCTTATTGTGGCGATTGTAGGTGAAACTGTGTATGATGATGAGCAGACTATGTTTGTGTGCAACACCTTGCAGCCAGGCTGCAACCAGGCATGTTATGACCAAGCATTTCCTATTTCTCACATTAGATACTGGGTGTTTCAGATCATCATGGTGTGCACTCCTAGTCTCTGTTTTATAACGTACTCAGTTCATCAGTCTGCCAAGCAGAGGGAAATGAGGTATTCTACTGTTTTCCTGACCTTGGATCGAGATCAGGACTCCATGAAGCGGGATGACAGTAAGAAAATCAAGAACACCATTGTCAATGGGGTGCTGCAAAACACTGAAAGCTCCACCAAGGAAGCAGAACCTGATTGCCTAGAAGTGAAGGAAATTCCCAATCCAACCATAAGAACATCAAAGTCAAAGATGAGGCGCCAAGAAGGCATCTCTAGATTTTATATCATTCAGGTGGTCTTCAGAAATGCCCTGGAGATTGGGTTCCTGGTTGGACAATATTTTCTGTACGGATTCAACGTCCCTTCCATGTATGAATGCGACAGGTATCCTTGCATTAAGGAAGTTGAGTGCTATGTCTCCAGGCCCACTGAGAAGACAGTTTTCTTGGTCTTCATGTTTGCCGTGAGTGGCATTTGTGTGGTGCTCAACTTAGCGGAACTGAACCACTTAGGCTGGAGAAAGATCAAAATGGCGGTGAGGGGAGCGCAAGCAAAACGGAAATCAATATACGAAATCAGGAACAAGGACCTGCCACGCATGAGTGTGCCTAACTTTGGCAGGACTCAGTCTAGTGACTCTGCTTATGTGTGAGACTTGCAGAACCAGATTGCTGTGCTGTGTACCTTGGCCCGCTGCCATTTGAATTAGGGAAGGAACATTGCTTAAACAACTGTTTCCTACAACCACCAAGAAAGCCGTTAACGTACTCTCTGTGCACTTTCTAGACCAGATTCAAACCCGAGTGCTCATAACAACAACAACAATAATTGTAAAAGATGGATAAAGACACAGTTGATCAACACCTGCAGTCTGACCTTACATCTCCATTACTTCTGCCCTCTCCTCCCTTGCCCTCCTCTCCTCTCCCCCCTAAGATCCAATGCTATTTGTTGAAGAGCACAATCTTTTGGCCATGATTAGTATCGCTCCATTTGTATGACTGATGGAAAACATGTTCAGAATGTTATTGTCATATGGATGATGGGAAGCATTTATACAAAAGCTGGAGTGAGGGAGGGGGATGGGAGAGATTCCTACTCTTCAAGCACATGATTGCAAAACTGCCAGTAGTGATTACCCCAAACCTCATCTCGTGGGTACCTAACATCACACTCTCTTTTGGCATTATGCAGTTAAATGCTGTGTATGCTTAGCATTTATTTTTTCTATCACCGTTTTTGGTACAAAAAATAATAATGAACACACTGAGGTCAATATAATTTTAATTGTCATACAGCTAATTGTGACCCATCAAATTTATGAAATAGATTTGTAAAAAAAAAAAATCACAGTTCCACACTATGCGCATGAGGAAGATGTAGTGATTTAAAATTCAGCTAGTTGAAGTAATTACCTGGATTTTAAAATTACATATACCAAAGGAACAGAATGGATTACTAACTGTGAAAAACAAAACCTATTTGCCCTTACTACGACAAGTGCCATACTTGAAGTTCAGACATTGAATTCTGTATTTAGTCAAAGGCTTGGCTAAAGATCCCAACTTGAAATACCGGATTTTATATTTTCCTTCCATTTTTATCTACCTATATATAATTTTTTTGCTTTTCTTTCTTCATTATAGCAAAGGTGCAAATGCCATTGGTAAATTGCTAAAAAAATAATTTTTATAAAATAGAAAGTTAACTTTCTTTTATATATGCATATATGTTAGTAACATTGCACTGATATATGATGATGAAACTGGTGTATCTATCTAGAATATAAGACTCATTACATTATTGCCTCTTTTTATATTCATGGCCTGGATTCTATCTAAAATATATGAAGGGTTTACTTTTCCTTACAGTGTCATGGTGCTAAAATAAGGAAATGTACACGGATAAGTAGCAATATAGCATGATCCAGAAAATGCAGTTTATCTATTCGTATGTATATGCATGTGTGTCTGTGTGTCTGTGTAAGCACACAAAACATCTTTATCATATTTCATTATATGAACATTTCAGGGATATAGAATTAATTGTTTTAAGTGGGGTGGTGTTTCCCTTTTTCAAATAATGATGTTAGTCTATTTTAGGACGTACGCTACAATTTCTATGTATTTCTCACCTTAAAATATGCCATTAATTTTCAGTAATTATATTTAGAAGGGACTGCAAATATTGGGCTGGAGGCCTGTCTTTTGTCCACTCATGCAGGCTCTTAAAAGTTCCTCCAGGTTTGGAAGGTCTACTAATAAATGTGGAGATTTCTAAATAAAGGAAGAAAAAATGTGAAACTTCTTGGAATCCCCTTTCAAATGTTCATGTTAAACTGCAAAAGCTGAATAATAATAAAACTTTAGGCACAGGGCCCATTTTTGCATCCTGCAATTATTAGAGATGGGGAAATGTTATCTCATTTTTTCCCCTGATTCATTATTTTTTCCCTCCTTGAACTGTCCCATGCCAGTACATCTTTAGTTTTGTTTTTAAAGTTTACACCAGAAGGTAAAGTATTTATGTGCTTTTTCCAAGCATTATTTTGCTAAAAATATACCATTTTTGCAAACAATTTTCTCTAATGAAATAAAATCTGCATATTATTTTCTTGAATACACACACACACACACACACACACACACACATGCTGTATTGACTTTTCTGTTTTGAATGGAAATGTCATTGCAAACACTGGAGAAAAATACTTTAAATTTCTGTAAATTAAAATCAATATAGAAATTAAAGTATTTCCCTTTCCTTCTTAGCTGCTACAAATATGTCCAGAATAACTACACATAATTCTATTATAATGAAATAAAATTATATAAAAATAATCATAATTATTTGAGGTCCAATTTCCTACTATTTAAAAGTAGAAAATGAATTATTCCCTTTTCTCTTTTTTCTTCCTTTTGTTTCTATAGTGTATCATGTACCATAATTATATTCCTTTAGTCTTCAGATTAACTATAACCATATCTAAATCCATGTTTAAGTTTCACCAGCATTTATGTTGATCCATAATTCACTTCTGCTCAGAGTCATATATCTTCCTTTTGGCAGTAAAACAGATATGCATATGGACTGGCTAGCAATGCATAAATCATCACATCATTGTTTTCAATAGAATGGAGTTTGCTATCCTAACCTTGCCCAACAGTACAGAGCTATTATTGATATATTTGAGAAAGTGGCATGCCATATTTTCTGAATGCTTTGAGGCAATCTGAATTGACTACTGAGTCTAAATGACAGTGATGGGAAACAGATCAGACAAATCTAAAAAAACCCCCATCAATATATAGGCTTTGAACAAAGAGGATGGGAAAAGTTGGCACTAAATGCATTTTATCATTATTGATGGGAACATGCCTTAGGACAGATTTTGTTAATGTTTTCACATGAATCTATTTGCTTATCTGATTTTTTTTCCTTTTCTGATGTTTGTAAAGATGGCCCATCAACCAATGCATTCTTTTTTATATTTGTGCAGTTTGATCATTGTTCTCTGTAGATATGATACTTTAATTGTGGAAATGTTTGGGAAATTCAGGGTGTGCTATTTATCCCATTGTCATTGGCTGCAAACAGTTACCTGTGTTCTCCTTTATTCCCCAAATTGTTGAATGAACTGCTTTTGTGTAATTGTATGAAATGATGCCTGTAAAGTTACCCTCTTTTGTTTCAGCAAGTCTTACAAGCAAGCAGCACTTGGTGAATAGAACTCTAACTCTCTAACACAAATGCATATTATATTTCATATGAAGCCTATTGAAATATATATTCATGAATGTCCTTGATTTCTCTACACATAATCACTGTGTAGGGCAACCTTTTGGTGTATAAACTGATTTCACTGAAAAGCACAATATAGTATGAAATTGTAGTTATCTGTCAGATGAGTTGCTCACAATCATCTTTTGATAACGCAGACAGTAAATTATGAACATGCATCTGTTGAATTACATATCTTATTTTTAAGAAAATGTCTTCAGGAGTGGGGTCATTCTACCTTGTTAATTTTATGTAATGGGAAAAATGACGTTGCTTTAACATGTTGGATATTAAAATGAATTTGAGGTGCTTTAAAACATGGTTTTGCTGCTCACATGGATGCTGAATAAATCAGAGAGACTTATTTTCAGATTTGAATTGGCAATTGATTTGAGTTGCAGAGCTCATAATTTCAGTTTTTTTAATCAGTTATTGATCCTTTTTATAGAAAACTGATTATATTGATGCTCTGATGGAGAAGGGTGGCATGTAACCTGAAATAAAAGAAGAATAAATAAATAAGAGCAGCTGTTGGAGGAGAAAGAGGCACTTTTGTACAAGTTGGCACATTGGAGAGACAAATGGCTATGGTAAAAGAAAAAATGATATGGCTTTGATGGGGTGCCCAAAGCTCCATCCATTTTTATGTCAGTTGTACCACCATCTTCACTTTTTTGACCACACCCTGTGGACAGTCCTAGTAGCGCTGCCATTGGAAAGACCTCCTTGAGCCAACATGGATTCTCTCCGTGATTGTAGGCCAGTCATATTGTCTCAATCCAGTCTAGTTCACTGCATAATTATTGGGAGGGTATAATAAAAAGTTAGCCAAGGGTGTGGTCATGAGTTTTTTAAAGAAAGACAGAATCTATGTAAGGTAAAAGTTTTCCCTATCCAGTTGTGTTTGACTCTAGGGGTTTGATTCTGGTTTCAAACCCAGGTTGTCACATTTCTAGCTGATAATGTTTGTTTAACCACTAAGCCATCATGCCCTTTTTGGAATCCATGTAATTATGTAACTAAGAATGAATGAATGAATGAATGAATGTAACCTTCCTCTGAAGTCTACCTATTATATTTTTGGGAAGTGACGAATATCAGATTAATTATTAATTCTTCCCTCAATTAAAAAAGTGTGACTTTTTGTCTGTACCTCTATGGTCCTAAGGAAGAACAATATTACATGAATATTATTTTAGAGGGCAGGTAAAGACTACCAACTGAAGTTTAATATTAACCTATATTCGTCTATAGGTTTTTAAAAAGGCAGACAAAATATTCTTGATAAATTTAGTAATCCTTTATGCCCAATTTTTAGCAGCTCATTGAAATATGAATTGTATTATTGGTATTATTAGTAGTAATAGTAATAATAGTATCAGAAACAGCGCCTAGTTACAGTAAAAGTTATAGGCATAATTGGAATAATGCTTAATAAATAATATCTGTAATGGATAATAATAATAGACCATTTAGTGCAAACCTTGTATTCAATAAGGAACAGCTAAACACAGTATTTAGAGATTTCAGTAATTCTGGATCAGCTTAGGTAAGATAAATGGGTTTCTACTATTAGTACTCTAGCATGGATTCAAAATCCTATTTATATATTAAAGGCATGTCTTGAAAATTACCAAAGGATGTATTTCAATGCTTTTAGTGAAAAGCACAATTAATAACTTCCCCAAAAGCAATGCCAGTAACATCCCTCACTACTTTAGCTTGTAAAGAGAAAATACAGAACTTGCTTACTGAATTGGAAACATGCGACTGGATGGAATAAAATGGAATACACTTAATATTTGTAAACTGTACAAAAGTGTTCACATACATGGAATACAGCAACATTGTTATACATAGAAATTCATAAACACGTGGGTTTCTACCCTATCCCACATAAAAAAATTGGATATATCACCAGGCAAAAGCAGGTTGAAAATTCTAGTTTGGGCTAAAGATTAGCACTTTCAATATACAATAAAGTTTTTTGGGGGGAGGGGAGTGTTGGTGCCTTTGAGTAAGTGTTAACTCCTGGTGACTGCCTGGAGTTTTCTTGGCAATGTTTTCTGATGTAGTTTTCCAATTGCCTCTTTCCTAGATGGACAGTGAATGAGTCACCCAAAGTCACAGCTGACTTTGTGCCTAAGGTGGGACTAGAACTCACGATATCCCGGTTTGTAGCCTGGTGCCTTAAATGCTACACCAAACTAAAGTTATATCTAAAAGTATAAAATGATGGTAAAGATCCATATTATTTGCTTGCTAGTAGGGACAAAAATCTCCATCCCTGATTTCATAAGTTTTGTTATTAATATATTTATTTCCTTCATTAGATACATTAGAGTTTACCTTCCCAGCTTAAAACTGGATATAATACAAGATAAAACAGTTGTAAAATATATGATACAATCATTCCCTGTGTCCCTTTGCCTTGAATAATTACACTTGAAGACTAGCATTGCTATTGTGTCTAGATCTAGAATTAAGTTCACACCCTAGGTAGTTATTTGCTATTTAATAAATGACTGTGTTTATTACAAAGCTAAGTGGGAATTCCTAGCGAATATTACATTTTGCCTTTTACAGGGCAATTGTAAAAGAAGCATCACAGTTTCTGAATGTATAATTTCAGTTTAAGTGGCCTGAATATAGGACCAGACTGGAGAAAGAAATGAATTACAATGAATGCTTATGATGAAAAAAAATATTAGACAGTTACCAAAGAACAAGAATGAGATAGGGTGAGAAAGAAAGAATTTACTACCATTAAGTAGAAAAAGAAACAGGGAAAGAAAAGCAGAAGAGACATGGATTTTTGTTTCTGATGTTTTGGCTCTCACAGACTTCATTATCTGTATTAGAAACTGAATAATATTCTGAAATACATCCATGCAAACTGTTACAATGATTTATCTATTATTTCATATATAAACCATTTTTGATCTCATTTGGCTGAAGTGATTCATCTCTCTCTCTCTCTTTCAGTCACTGTATATTATATTATATATTTTTTATATTTTTCTAATAATATTAGTGCCTCTAGAGATTGAAATCAAATCTATTTTTGAGAACCCACAAGCTGATTTCATTTAACTGAATTGCTGGATTATTTAGATTTATGTATCTCACCTGCATACACCACCTAATTATAGCATCAAATTTTGCAGGTTCAGAGAGTGGAGAGAGAAAAAGAACATGAGAAGACAGTAAATCTTTACATCCTCTTCATCTTACACTTCTTGCAGAATTCTATCAGTAACGGGAAATAAGTTTTTCCCACAACAGCAAAACAAAATCCCGATTCCTCCACTGAAATTGATACCAGTCAGTAAAAGGAGGATTTGTGTTTCTGTGGACTCGGTGGCCAAGCAATATAAAGTTTATGCTTAGAAAATCACTATCAGTTTGTTGGGTAGTCGTTACATGTATGATCTGAACAGGACAATGATATTTTTAGCTTTTTTAAAAATAAACCCTAAATTGCAAATTGTGATTTAGTAGTTTGTGCTTTGGTGGTCAGAAAAAGTTTGCATTCTGAATTCAGATACAGCAACGTCTTTAGCTGCTGCTTAACAATGGTTGGGGCATTGAAAGTTACTTTATATGGCTACTCATAACACAAACCAAGTATTTGTGGGACACTTATATGGTACATAATTCATTTAACTGTTTTACAATTAAGTAACATGTCTGTACAAGATCATGGTTTATTGAGATATGAACAAAAAGCCTAATATATTTGTCCAGAAGTTTAAAAGATCTAGGGCAGGAGTGGGCAATGTGTAGCCCTGTATGGGTAGTCCTCAACTGATGACCACAACTGAGCCACACATTTCTGTTGCTAAATGAGACAGTTGTTCAGTGAATTTGGCCCCATTTTCTTGCCACAGTTATTAAATGGATCACTGCAGTTGTTGATAACACAGTTGTTAGGTGAATCTGGCTTCCCCATTGACTTTACATGTCAGAAAGTTGCAAAAGGTGATCACATATCTGCAGGACTCTACAACTGTCATAAATATGAAACTGAATTTCTGAAGTATCTGAATTTTGATCACATGATCATGGGGATCCTGCAACAGTCATAAATGTGAAAAAAGGTAACCAGTCACCTTTTTCAGTTCAGTTGTAACTTCAAACATTGTATTGTAAGTCCAGTACAAGTTTTTGGACTGCAATTCTCACTAATCTTAGACTCCATGGCCAGTTGTAAGTGACAAAAGGGACCGCAGACTAATTATAATAATAATAATAGTAGTAAAGTTGGAAGGGACCTTGGAGGTCATCTAGTCCAACCCCCTGCTCGGGCAGGAAACCCTACACCATTTCGGACAAATGGCTGTCCAGTCTCTTCTTAAAAACTTCCAGTGTTGGAGCATTTACTGCTTCTGGAGGCAAGCTGTTCCACTGATTAATTGTTCTCACTGTCAGGAAGTTTCTCCTTAGTTCTAGGTTGCTTCTCTCCTTGATTAGTTTCCACCCGTTGCTTCTTGTCCTGCCTTCAGGTGCTTTGGAAAATAGCTTAATTCCCTCTTCTTTATGGCAGCCCCTGAGATATTGGAATACTGCTATCATGTCCCCCCTTGTCCTTCTCTTCGTTAAACTAGACATACCCAATTCTAGCAACCGTTCCTTATAAAATTATCTGGTTAGATCACCAAGTTGCTGTAGCTTAGTGATATAGAGTTCAGGATTTTCAGGAATAAGACTTGATGCCTTTTTTCTTAGCGATCATTCCAGAAAGAGGAGAAGACGAGAAGCACCAGGAGGTTAGTTATATTTTTGAGATATCATCTTATAATGCCACAGCATGAAATATTTACTTGGCTGTTAAGAAATATTTTTGTTTTTCCTCTTTCTGGATATGTTTCTGAAGGGATTTGAAAGAAGTCATTCATACCTCATTCAAGCACAGCACCCTTCTGCTACTTGTTAAGGCAGCCCCTCCTTCTCTCTCTCTCTTTTTTTTAGTTTTCTCTGTAAGCTTAAAAAAAAGGTGCTGGATCTCTAAGAAGGGAACTCATAATGTGATTTATAATGCAACTAATTTTTGGCTCTTGAAAAAAATAAGTCCTTTTTAATGAATAGCATTATTTTGTCACACTATAAGGACTACCCCATTTGATACTTGCCTGTAAGATTGTGATGCAAATGCAAATCAGGCAGAGTTTGTATAGTGATGCTACACTGCATATTCCGCCATTCCCTCTCTCATAGAAGCTCATCATAACTCTATTATTTAGCATTAATATGATACACACTCATCTGAGCAAAAGGTATATTATATAAGAATTCATCTGAATAGTTTTTTTTCTGTTAGGTTTTTAAGATGAACATAAACAGATATATAGTCCGTATGGGAAACAAGAATAAAAACACAAAACTTAAAATCACTGAAACAGATACAGAGTTCTGAGTCAAGAGAATTGAAACAAATACTTGAGATCTAAAATAGCTATGTAGGGTGGTAATGTAAAGTTATCAACTTAAATAAGATTTCTTCCTAAGGTATTGGAATTCATTGTCAATAACTTCCATTTCAGAGGAGAGATGATATCTGATTTCTTTTTTCTGACATTCTATTTCTGAAAAAAACAGATACATAGCAATCCGTACTGTAAGAAAAGAATCATGTTAGTCTATTTTGTAATTAAAAGAATCAGGATTCTGGTAGCATCTTTTCTGACTAAAACAATTTATTAAATGGCATATGCTTTCATGAGTAGAACCTCACTTTATCAAATACGTGTCTCAAAACATCTGGTGTAGTGAACCGCAGCTTATACAAGGTTACGTCTTTTAATAAGATTTCACAGTAGGAAAAGATCCTATAGTTGGAAAAGATGCTACAGGAATTTTTTTTTTTTTGACTCACAAGTGAGACTTGACAAACAGAAAAAGAATTATGTGTAAATGTGTTTAGAGCAGTAACAAAGAAATCTAACATTTTCTTTTTTTGTGGAACGTGTGTGTGCATTTTGTATTTTACTGAATAAAGTAGCTTTATTTAAATAATTTTCATACGTACAAACTGTCTCTCTCTGTTTATGATTCCAATCATACATGCATCACAGTTCTGTGTGAATCTATTCAAAAGTAAGATCCATCAACAGTAATAGCTTTTCACCCAGGGTTGTATGTGCAGAACTGTGGACTAACTGAAGTTCAGATTATTAGCAAATCTGATGGTGAGTGGGCATTGCATTAGACAGATTCTAATGTGGTTGTTACACAGTTCTTCCCTGTATACACACACACACACACTCTCTCTCTCCATATATTTTTGTTTAATTCAAGTGATGATAAAGTACAGAACTAGTTGGTAACTTCATTTTATATTAAACGAAGCTTAAACAATTCTATGTAATACAGTTTTCAAAATGCAATTATTATTTTAAACAAATTCATCCATTTTTTACCTGCACAAATTATGTATTATTTCATTCCTTTTCACAATCTCTTCACAAGCCCCACATTTCCCCTCTTTTGAAACTGGGAAAAATGCAAAGAAATCCACTTGTTATAATAAGACTTGGCAGATAGGGCCAGCCCTTTCACTACAAGAGAAGAACTTATCCCGTAAGGCTCACTTAATCACAGAATTGCTACCATCCTAGGTATTTTGCTTATAATGGAAGGGATTGGGGACAAAGGTCATTGAACCCATAACACATTTTCTCCTTTTCCACTAAAATCTTCATAATCCACATGAGTAGTTTTCAGAAGAAGCACTTGGCACATAGCAGCTCAATTCTGATGTTGTGGCAGCCTCTCAAGGAAACGTTCCCTTAAGAAAGCAATTTCTCTGGGGCATGGGCGATACTCAGAGAGAGGGAGAGAGAGAGGGAGACTGAAAATTCACAGCTGGAATCCCCACATGTAGTAATTTAACATAAGGCTGAGTCACGGAAAAAAATCAAAGATCAAGAGTCAGAAGTTGAATAATACTAAAGTAGTATTTAATTGCTGTCTAGGCGTAGTTAGGCATGGCCTTTTAGCAGAGGGAAAATTCAGTTTATGACAGTCAACTATTAAGTTTTCTTTTCTTTTTTTTAGAAAAAAAAATTATTTTTCATTTTTCAATACATTTGATACATTCAATACATTATATATATAAAAATACCTTTGAAATAAATTCATACATAAAACTTTAGGTGTCGCTCGTCCATCTCCCCCCCAATTGTATCCGCCCTCTCTACCTTCCTTCCTTACTTCCCTCCTCCCTCTCTCCTCTCTTCACCTCTCTCCCCTCATCCCTTCCTCCCAACCTACTTCCTTCCCTCCCTTCCTCCTCCCCTCTCATCCCTCTTCGGATACAGTTCAGGGAAGATACCCAAGTGGCATCTCTCTCTAAATTCCTCTACCTGTTTTATACATTAACATTTCTATTTATCTAACCTACTTAATCCCACCCATCCCCACCCCCTACCCCCCCACTTCCCGGAGCAGAATACAGGGTTATTGTAAACTAAACAAACACAATCTATAACTTTTAAAACAAAAAATTTATACAATAATCAAATTCATACTTAACCCTTAACTCCCTCTAAACTTTAACTTCGTAATAATATAAACAAATCTATTATAAATCATTTATTATAAAATACTATACATAATTATTTCTTTCAAGAAAAAATTTTAATCATAAAGTAAATGGAACTTTAAAGTTCCATATTTATTCTGAATATAATCTATCCATCTTCTCCATACCCTAATATATTTTTCTTGTATATGATCCTTTAAATAAGCAGAAATCTTTGCCATTTCTGCTAAATTAGAAACCTTGAATACCCATTCTTCTAAAGTAGGCAACGAATCCTTCTTCCAATATAAACCTACAAGTAACCTTGCTGCGGTTATTAAATTCAACATTAAAATAGTTTCATTAACATCTAAATCCATAAAAATACCCAACAAAAATAATTGAGGAGTAAACTTTATCTTTTTTTTAAATCTTTTGAATGTTCCACCAAATCATTATCCAAAAAGCTTTAACATTCTTACAGGTCCACCAAACATGAAAATAAGTTGCATCAGTACTACCACACCTCCAACATTTGGGTTGTAAGTTAAGATACATACAAGACAGTTTTTTAGGATCCAAATGCCACCTATAAAACATTTTGTAAAAATTTTCCCTCAAATTTTGGGCCTGTGTAAATTTAACATTTCTAATCCAAATAGTCTCCCATAAATCCAATAAAATCGGTTCCTGGATATTCTGGGCCCATTTAATCATACAATCTTTTACCAACTCTGTTTCTGAGTCCAGTTTTATTAACTCATCATAAATTCTTTTAATATGGGCATGATTCTGATCTTTAATCTGAATTACCAAATTTTCATCTCCCAATGTTATTCCAACTTTCTTATCTACAGTCCACTTATCCACAATTTGTATGTATTGAAACCATGACTGTAAGATATTTTCTTGTCTTAGTACATCTAAAGATTTTAACTGCCAATCAGTACCTGACCAAATTAATAATTCCTTATATGAAATTTTATCAAAATTCATCCCCTTAGAAATTCCCTCGATTACGTGTCCAGGAATCACCCAAATAGGTATTTTATAATTTAACCTATAATAATACCTTCCAAACTCAAAGAAAAGCATTCCTTAAAATATGTGATTTAAAAGCCCGATCTACTTTCTTATTAAAAATCAAATATGCATCCCAACCATACAATAAATCCCAACCTTCAAGAGAAAGGATATTTTTATTTGTTAAATTAAGCCAATCGCTTATCAAAGTTAAGGTGGCTGCATCATAATATAATTCCAAATTAGGTGCTTTAAGCCCACCTCTTTCTCGGGCATCTTGCAAAATCTTAAACTTTACCCTTGGTTTTTTCCCAGCCCAAATAAATTTATTGATACCCT